GTATCAGTTCTTCATGATCGACTTTATCTTCATTAATAGTATTTTCTCCATCTTGAGATATCTGATCAGATAATACATCTGAATGAAAAAAGAAATATATCAAGTGTAAATAAATAAATTCTACAGGTTTACCTATCGGTACAGTTTTTGAGATAACTTGTTCATTTATAAGACATTTTTGACGTGATTGTTCTTTATTAAGAATATCATTAAAGATTTTTTTCAAACATGATAATAATTTATCTAATTATATTATTCAATCTTTATCATAAAGAAAACATGAAAAAATTTTAACAAACCTGCTTTTTTGACAGTATCAATACTATTCTTAACAATATTCATTGGATCTGAAAAAGATAACAAATTAACTGAAGAAATTTTAGATATGAAAAGAAAAATAACATACTCTTTTCATTACTATCATAAAATGAATGTATATCATCTGGTGGTCCAGCTGGAGTAAAATTTTTGATATCATCTTTCCAACAAAACGGTGGAGTAAAACCATATAAAAATGCATCATATAATGTACATGTTAAATTATCGACTATTGTTATTCCAGATATTGTCTTTAATATGTCTTTGACATTTGACTCTTAATGTTTATACCGAATATTATTTCAAAGAAAATTTTCTAAATGATTCACCTACTATTATCTTTTACAGAACTATTGATTTTATCATTAATAATAACATTTTCTTCTTTCATGATAAAATCTATAAAATAGATTGATAAGAAAAAATGAAATAAAATATTCTCTTCTATACCTTGATAAGTATTATTTAATGCCATAAGCATTAGCTTGTCATGTATTTGTAAACATTCATTACTTGATAATACGATGTTCGGATTATATTGTTTATAGTCTTAACAGATGATACAGAAAAGTAATGAATAAGAGATTTTTTTCAGAGGTACTTACAAATACAAACACCGAGACACATAAGAAATATACAAAAATATCTTCCATTGATCAATTCTACGAAAATGAATTGAAACAATCACTATATTGATCTTTTCTTTTTTAATTTAAAAATGAAACTCACTCTGAATCTTAAGAAATAATAGTTCGACTAAAATAGAAAATAAATAATAAAGAAATAGATACAAAAGAAAACCAAAATATAAAGAAAGAACCTGAATGACAAGGTTGAGTTTGTCCAAATCTCACATTATTTTGATTATGAGTGTGTACAATGCGCATATCTGTTTGTAGGCCTAATAATTTCGAAAATGTTTCAATGAGAATATATTTTTGTACAATAAATAAACACATACTTCCAGCCTGTACAGCTGGATCAAATGGTATTTCAGTAACTGTTTCAGAATATTCTGTAAAAATAAAAAAGAAACAAATAATTAACTTTTAATCTAAAATACTCTGATCATTAAATGAATATCTTTCAAGTGATTAGGATAGATTATCTGAAAGACTTATTCAATTAAGTTTCATCGAATTTTTTTATTAAAGACTAAATTCAAATATAAATTCATTATACTAACTATCCGTGGATTCATTTATTGTGTTTTCATCATGATCATTCATATTATGTTCATCATTTGTATCAATCATATAGATTAATGGAACATTAAACATCGACATAATGGATATTATAACAATATAAAGATTTTGAAAAAGACGATGAATTATTGTATCCATTGATTCGAATTGTGTTTTCTCCAAAAAAGGATTTTTTTTTTATCTGAAAATAATCGAAAACCTTCGATAAAATCGAATCAAAATATTTTTTCTTATTTTCAAAAATTACTAAATACCTAGTAATTTTTCTTGTTAATTCTATACGAAAATTATTTCAGCAGACATTTGCCGAGACTAGTAAGGGTCTAAAAAGGTTCGTTTTCATGAAATATTGAAGCCAGATTATAACCAAATCTATTAGACTTTCGACTCATGTTCCCCCAAAACCGTGTAGCGGGATTTCGATCCAAAATTTTGTCTATCGATAGATTTAATGATTCGTAGAATATCCTAAAAGTTTCAATCGAAAAGGACATTTCGAAGTCAAGTGATTCAATTTTCAAGTGAACTCAAGTTTTATTATACTGGTAGATGTTCACACACACACATCTCACACCACGCTTTTTACTAAGTATTGTCCAAAAAAGAAAATTTAAGCACAGTGAGCATTTAGTTTCAGGTAGGAACATTGGTGATTTTATCGTGAGCAAATGAGTTACTTTTATTTATATCAATAAATATGAGGCTTCAAATTCAATGTTATTTTTAGCTTTTTACATTGAATACTTTTTCTTTTTCCTTTCTATCATACCATTTTTTCGTTCTATCGGAAGAAAAAAAAGACGCTAAACACGTGGTTTTATATGACTCAAAGAAAATAGAACGTAATCATATGTTGTTTTTTTTTTTGATTATGGTTTTTCTCAATAATCTTAATGATAGAAACATGTTAGATATTCACCAGAAATGTTAATATTTATTATGAAATTGTGATCTGCGGTGTTTAAGATAATAATGTTTTTTCATAATTTTGAAAGCTTATAGGTTGATTTTTCAGTCCAGAAAAAGAAGATTGTACCAAATTTTGTCGAGAATTATAAATTTTTGATGTTTCAGATGCTATAAGGAAAATCTTTTTTAATTTTTATTTTCATGGAAAAGAAACTAAGAGAAAAAAGTATGAAGAACTAAAAGAAAAATACGTAAAAAAAAACAAAAAAAGAAAAAAACAACTTTAACTTATCTACTAATAGTTAGTCGTAATCGATAGAAATACTAAGTATAGTGAAGCTTGTTACTATTTTGATTGAATAGAAAATGAGAAAATAAAAATATCATTGTCGATGACAGACCCATATAAAATGTAATCACTAACGCATACCTGATCTAGGATATTCATCCATATACCTTCTATAGAAGTTGGTTTGCTTTTTCTTTTCTTTCTTATCTAATCGTTGTCATTGTATTGCTAGTCGACGTCAACGTTCTGTCATCGAACCATAAAAAAAGAAATAAGATCGTAATGATTATTAAAAAAAGTCTAAGAATCGTTCTGTCGACCTTCACTTTTTTTTTCTCATTCGCATAGTCTTACATTTTTGTATAATCACTGTGTATGTTAGTTGTTAATGACACTTCAACAAAGAAAAACAAAAATCTGTGGTGTTGATAACGATATTATTTCTAGTAATATTTCTATTGATCATGAGTCATTCTTTTTCTAAAGAAACGAAACATTGACGACATTATTTAATCACGTGTTTTTAATGTCAAACAGCTTTTTTTTTTATATAAGTAGTAATTTAACATATATTTAGGTTAGACAGGAGGATTCCTAGATTAAATGTACATCAATGTCTAACAAAGATTGTGTAAAATATAAAACAAAACAAAAAAAGCTTTTGTATCTTACTGATTTAAATCGAATAACTGGTTACATTTTTGATCGTCTATACATAAAAAGAGTATCATGTCTTAATTACTAACTTATCTAATCATGAACTCAGTTAATTACTAATTTAGCGAATAATCTGTCACAGTCCCATATATACTAAGTATAATTAGCAGTAGAAAATTTTTAATAAAAATAAATATCACCTCCCAGTTGAAGAATGGCAAATTTTGGCAAAAATTTATATGAAGTGTAACCTCTTGAAATCCAGCTTGAGGTGATCCAAGGTAATAGTGTGAAGTAACAGAGGATAAACAAAGATGAACAAAAGTTTACCAATGTATTGAATAAGTAATGAACAAGCAAAAAGAGATAGAATCACATAATGTGAAACAATGAAGAAATAGATAGAATAAGCGAAAGAGGTAAGAAATGTCAGATGGTAAAGGCAAAAATGCGTATTATTGTCAAAATGAATCAAACGCACCGGCAAAATGACATCTTACATAAAGAACATTAGCAAAAAAAAACGAGAAAGAAAAAAATAAAACAGATACGATACAGAAAAGAAAAAAAAACTCGCAAAAAAAAATGTAGCTTCTACAGAACAATCAAAAATTGAAAAAAAAGATGATGCCTAGAGTGTGATACACTTCCTACTCTCTCTACTCATTCACCTCTATTTCGAATATATTTTCCCTCGAAAAAAAAATTCAACGCTTCAAAGCAAAACATGTCATCAGTTGTTATGCAAAAGCGCTTATTTCATTTATTTGTAAGAGAAAAAAAAGAAAAGCTAGCGAAAGAACATACAGTAAAAATTCGTGTTATAATCGATGCATTCTATGTAATCATCATCATAAAAAGGGATACGTCAAGCTCATTTAACCGGATATCTCAGTTTCAGAAAAAGCGTTTTTCCATATAACTGACAAAATTTTGGAAAACTTTATTCGATTTATTTCATCTTAATATTAAGTGAGAAAAAAAACAATTGTAGTCATTAATAGATAAAATTAGATCAAATCAATAATTATCAATAGGATTGGAATCATTTTTCAAGATTTCAATAAAAAAAAGTAAAAAGTAAATTTTATTAAAAACTTTGATGAAATGTCGATGACAAAGAAAAATAGACTACATAATTACGTCATCATGTCAAACCTTGAAGTTGCAACGTGGTCTCCTACTTTACTCTTTATTTTTGTTTTGTTCTGTTTGAAAATATGAAAGAGAAAAAGAGCAGAAAAAAAATTGAAACAAAATGTAGAGAGTATATCTAGATTAAATAAAGTAGATTTCTTGAAATCTTAATAATGAAATTAATTTTCAAATTAATCAATATATCTATCAAATTTTTAGAAAATAAAAATAAAATGGTGTAGAACTTAAAAACTACTCTATTTAAGAAAATATATAAATTCACTTACCTGAATTACAATTGATATTGAATCATTGGTTTAGAATGAACTTTACTTACATATATACCTTTTATGGGAAAATATAAAAGACCTTGAAAAATTAAATAACTATTAAAGCTTGTTCTGTTCTTTTTACATTTATGATCTTAGACAGTTAGCAAGAACGTAGTAAGAAGAGATTGAATCTTATAAATTCTATATTATTTACTACACAACAAATTGTTATACTATTTCAATTGATTCTCTCAATGACTACATACATATAATATTTCACTGTTAGAATTTATTTGGATAAGATTCAAATATTAAACGTAAAACTTTACTTGATATTATCAAATAGATTTTGGACTAACATAAAAATATCAATATGTTGAGTAATACAATATGTTGATTTTAAACTGAATGTAAATCAAAACGTACAAAACTGAAATAGCAACAAGGATACATAATATGAGCTGTGACTCAATAATGTACAAGTAAATATATATTTCTTTTAACGTATTTATGGTGATGAGTTACTTAGGCTGATTGACTGCGTATTTTCTTTTTCGCGTTCTTCCATATGAATTTGGTATTTCGTCAATTTCATATGATTCTTAGTCATGAAGTAAATAGCTGAGAAAAAAAAGAGCGACTTGTTTTTTCTTTGTCACATCTTCGTATAGGCAGAGTTCGTCATTCATAACACTGCAAAAAAACGCAACTATCTTCGTTTCATCTCATTGATATTGGCTGTGTTTTTATTGATTAGTGACTGAAGTTTATTCAGAGTTTCTTTTTTTTTCATAGTAATAATATAAAGAAATATTACTATTAAGTTTTATTGTTGACTTCACTAAAGAAATTTTGAAAACAATATTCTATTGTCATTGAAGAGAACAGAACAAGAATGAGATCAGCAGAAGCTTTACGGATGATACGACATTGATGTAAATAGAGTTAATTTTCATGATTAGTTTGTTTAAATGTTGAATTTCATGTTTGATAATTAAAACAGATAATGGAAGACCTTTAGACACTAAATCGACAACTTTCTATATTTGAATCGTTAAATTTTAAACTAAGTAACACTGAATATTTACTGTGTATGCATTAATTCAATATCATTCACAAAATTTGTTTTTTTTCTCTTGCCTTCATATACTCCACATGTGTTTTACTTGGTTGACAACAGGTAAAATTTCTCTAATGGCATCAAAAATAAAACTTAATAAGAGTATTTGTCTACATTGTTGATATGAAAAAAAAAGCTGTGAATAAATTCTTATTAGCAACTAAAAAATCAGTCTATATGAATTGAACTGAAGGAGACATCTGTCAATTTTTTTTTAATCATACGATTATTTATGATTCATTTTGCACATTAAAATTTCGCTAATTGGTCGCGTTACTTTCTTGCATGTATTATCATAATTTGCTTAAAAGTAACAATTAAACGATTAAAAAGCTTTGTTTTTGATTTTGAAAATGAAATCATATAATGACTAATATTAATATTCTTTCTAATAAAGCTAAACAATATTATTGAGTAAGTTTTACCTTATTTTATCTTAAACACATATTAATATAAAAACTAACAAGGAAAAGTCTCCAACTGTCGAGTCGCTTTTTGATCGAATGAATGCTCAAACGATAGATCTCAATGAGCAATTAAAAATCCTATTAGCGTTTGTTTTGTTAAGCCTTTTGAGCAGAAGTATATTATTAGTAATATTACTAGTTTTTTTGTATTACTGTATTAATATATTCGATATCTTAACTAAACATGCTTCGATTCAGCTCAAATCTATATCAGTATTAAGACATTCAGTACTGATTAAGATTCCAGAGTTCGACGATAAATCAATGTTTCTTATAGCAGATATGAA